TGCTTCATTGCCATAGATGTGAAGGAGGACTCATTTCCTCAGCAATTTTACCCCTATCAGATTATCTCATCTGATTCTATTATTTCTTTCCCATAAATCTGCTAACAGTGATTTGTTATTTGTGGCCCTGTTAATGGATCCGAAGCCCTGTTCAAAGGATTTATCTAGCTTTGTGTCTAAGAGCAGTTGATGTCTTCAGCTTTTGTCACTCTGGGTGTTGGGAAATCAATTTGGTGGCTTTTCATACTTAAATTCAGTGGACACCACTCAGTTCTGCACCATAAAATAAGGCACTGGATAAACAAAAGGTGCAGTAACTGTACTTAATGTGTTGGCCTTGATAGATGAGTTTGTTTAAGTCATAGCAAATGGCACTCAAAGTCAATATAACTCACAAGACTCATACTAGCCCCTTTTGCAAGTCTCCCTTCTGCCTGTTTACTCAGCCAAGGAAGTCATGAAAATACACACTTGAGAAGGTGTTTTTTTAAAAAAAATTCTTATTGATAGTGGTGTGAGACGAAGGTGCTTCTCTGTACAAAACCCACCAACTATGCTTATTTTACAAAAGTATATATGTCTGCATGTGAGCACACACACACACACACACAGAATGTATTTTGGAGACTATTCTGAACTGAAGCTCTCCAAAGAAGCTGTGTCCTCCCCAAAGCCAAATGCTTGAAAAGTACAGAGCACATTAAAGACAGTTGATTGAATCATCTCAAGTAAATGGGAACAAAACCCCAGTTTGGTGTTGAGCAGGGTGAAGGAATTGAACTGCTGGTGCTTTGGTGGCCTGGACACTTCTAATAGACATATGAAAATGTGCAGTTGCTACAGAAGAAGTCCAGCCTTACCTGGAAATTGTTCAGGTGCTCATTGTGAGCAGTTACATACTACAGGAGGATCCTGCCAATAGTGAGAGGAACAGAGTATTGGGGGGGGGGGAGAGAAAAGACTTCTGATTTTAAACCCCTATCCGTTTGTGCTATGTAACAGCCAATATTTGACAGCTCCCTCATCTGTAATAGGTTAATAAGACTAATATGCACCTCCAGTAATTTGTCTTAATACTTTGGAGGTTTGAGCTCAATCGTGTTTATAGCCCTCCGTTGCACTGCTATATCTCAGCAGATTGTGCTAGCCAGATGTGGTTTTGCATCCCCTGTTTTATCCTTCAGAGCTAACTGGGCTGGGAAAACTGAGAACAAGTCCTCATTTTGCACATGTAGCACACTTAAAGGGGGGAAACATCTCATTCAAAGGGACCACTTCAAGAGCCCTTCCCCAAAAATGACTGCGACTCATTTGAAAGTAGTGCCACAACTGCAATTTGTCCTCACAATCTAAAAACTGAAACTATCTATTGTGCTCATTTCACAAGAGCAAGGAGAATGTATGAGAGGAGGCATGAGTGACTTTTTAGACTGACCATTCCTGTTGACACACCCCCCTTACACACACACACACACACACACGATCGTAAATCAAACTGGGCGCATCATATTCACCTTTTTTCATAAATTCCACCTTTTGAACTTATTCTGGAAAGCACCTTATTTTTAGGCGCTTCCGGTCAAGCAAGGCAGATGCTTCCCAAATCAAGTGGTGATGCATCCCACAGCCCAGCCCACCTCTTTCAAAACTGCCTCTCCTTGTTACCAGCTAACACAACTTGATCCTATGAAATTCTGGCTGGCAAGACTGAGCGATGTCAGGGCATCCATGCAAAAGTCTCCCTTGTCTTTTGTTTGCCCAACTTCAGATTTTGAGACTCTTGGCAAGCTCATCCTAGGAGAATCACCGTCTCCACAAGCAGATCCTTAGAAAAGGCAAAGGCTGCTTCAGTAGAAATTCAGGGGGGGCGGGGGGCGGGGGGGCAAATAGTCGAAGCCGATGTACTGGGGTGCAATGTTCAGAGGACTGGTTTAATATATGACTAAGTGTCAAGAGTCAGATGTCTGAGAATTAGTTTTCAGATAAACAACTTTATAGCGCTACACTTAATCTTGCGTCCTAGAGGCATATCATTTACCACCAAATTACTAGTGACTTTTAATTCCTATTGATGGGGTCATGGAAGTCAGTTGGAAATCAAAGCTGAACGCTTTAAAGATTTTCGTCTTATCTTAAGGGAGAGGGAGAATCACAAAGGCACACAACTCCGCAAAGTACCCAGGCTAAAAAGAACAACGTCCCTTTTGAATCTTACTTTCTAGACGTGTCCTAAGTGGAAGAAAATTATATTGATAGGAAACGGTGTAAAAACACACGCAGCATAAATCCTGTTCTTAGATCCAAGTTCCAACTCCAAAATAGACCATCCGGCAAAGGCATTGAAAACGTCTCAGACGCGAAAGAGTTAACGTCAGACTGTCGTGCCGACGCTTAAAAGCTCTTAACTTTTTTTTTCTTTCTTTCTTTTCTTAAACGAGTTTCTAGCATGGATTTTTCTTTTCCCTGTCTAGAAAATTGGAAGCGGTTCAGCATGAAACTGATCTGTGACGAAAGGTGGCGCTGTCGAGGTTTAAACGGAACGCGAGTAAACTGGATTTTGTTTTAACTCGGTTCTTATTTTTTGCTATTAAATTAAAAAAAAAAAAAAGCTGCCGCCGCGAAGCGAGAAAGGGCGCACGTGATAGTTTTAAAATAATTAATTGAACAGATCGTCCGTCTTCTTCAAACAAGACCCCGGTCCGGTTGCATTAAAAGAAAAGTTTGCAGAAATTCTTAAGGCTGCCTTTCCTCCTCGGTTTTAATGCTCATTCTCTCTCTCTCTCTCTCTCTCTCTCTCTCTCTCTCTCTC